CTGTTTTGTACTCTTCTTTACAAGGCCATTTATACTGTGTGTTGGAGAGTTTCCCACCAGCCCTGACATAAAGGGCTGAATCATTCTTTTTAAGGTCTCATAGTTTCAATGTTCCATTATGGAATATGATCAATGTTACATTCCAGCACATGAAATTATTTTCATATTGACTGACTGCTTTAATTTTAGTGATATCTATGATATTGACTAACAGCAAATTAATATTTAACCAGCTTTTACTGCTAATTAAAATGTATTTTGTCTTTTGCTCTTTCAAAATGCATTAAAAATATGTCACTTGGACTTACGAGTTTATCTGTAGGTGAAAAAAAGTTTTTAGGGGGGGTCTGATGCGGTAGCCCAGCCTCGCCTTGCATGTGCTGGGGTCCCATATGGGTACCCATTTATGTCTTGGCTGTTCCAGTTCCCTACCAGCTCCCTGCTCGTGGCCTGGGAAAGAAGTAGAGAACAGCCAAAACTCTTAGGACCCAGAACCCATGTGCAAGACTTAGAAGAAGCTCCTGGTTCCTGGCTTTGGATCTGCTAAGCTCCAGCTGTTGCTGCCACCTGGGGAGTGAATCGATGGATGGAAGATCTCTCTGTTGATATACCTTTCCAATAAAAAGAAACAAATTCTAAAATAAATTTTAAAAATAAAATTTGTTGAATTAAAGTGGTCATTTAAAAATTATGCATAAGGTTAAATAACATATTTTGGTGTCTGAATGCAGTCATAGTGAAATGACATCTGTAGTCCTGAATGAATATATGCCTCATCCGGAATAGTTGTGTGTGTGTGTGTGTGTGTGTGTGTAAAACACTTAAAGTATCTACTCTCAGCAGATTTCCAGGACACGGTAAATATGATTACCTGCAGTTGTTTAATCAGTGTCCATACTTATTCACTCTAGAGAATGGCCTCTTTTGATCAAGGGCTCCTCATTTCCTCTTTGTCTCTGCATTTGTGTCTTTGGTAAATATTCCTAAAACATGCTTTAATTCTGTGAAAGCTTAAGGGCCATTTATAATCCTGTTTGGGCCACCTTCCTCTTGTACGTCCATTGATCTCATTCTTACTGATTGTAGACGCTCTTTACATGTATAAAAGGTTAACCTGTTGGATTTATGAGTTGTAGAACTTGTCATCATCACCATCCCTCCACTCTTGGATTATCATGTATGCTTAGGGTGGAGTTCTGTTTATTTTCAAATGTGTTAGGTTTGGTTTTCATGTGTCAGTTTTATCAATTTTGTTTTATGTCATCCATGGAAAGGCCTTCCTTATTCAAGATCATAAACCCACATTTCTTACCTTTTGGGCTAAATCCTTGTCCTGCAGGCGCTGGGATCCCTAATGGGTGTCGATTCATGTCCAGGCAGCTACACTTCCCTTTCAGCTCCTTGTTTGTGTCCTGGGTAAGCCACAACGGCCCAAAGCTTTGGGACCCTGCACCCATGTTGGAGACTGAGAAGAAACTCCTGATTCCTGGCATGGGATTGGCTGAGTTCCAGCTGTTGCAGCCACTTGGAGAATGATCTTTCTCTTTGTCTTTTCTCTGTAAATTTGCCTTTCTGATAAAATATATATATAGTTAAAATTCTTGAACAAAAATTCTCACCTTTTGCTATAAAGTTGTCATGACTTCACTCTTCATGCAGAGGCAGCATTCCTGGTTATTGATTCCAAGTGCTGTCCAGTGTTGTCAATTAACTGACCTTGCATCTTCTCCCTATTGACTTGAAATGCCACTTGGTTTGCCTGCTTCATTTCCTTAGATTTTTTGCTTTGGTTTATTTCTTGTGAACTTCTGATGTGTCTACCACGTTGCTTTATGTGTTTGTAATATTGAGCTGCTTCTTTTCATAACTCCTCTTTTTAAGAGAGATCTTTCATTATTTTGTATTGTTATTTTACTATGAGGCTTTACAATTACCTTATCTGATTAGTCTGAAAGTGGTTTTTTAGAGTGCATTAAATCCTTTAGGATTTAATTAGAATTGACACTTATTTCATATTGAGTCTCCTTGCTTAATTTAACTTTTGGGTTGCACTTTGAAGTTTTCTCCATGTAAATTTTGTGCTGTTTCTTCAGAATTTAAGTCTTTCAGCCTTTTTGCAGTGGCCAGATCATATGTTTCTGCCCTTACGTCAGTTTGTAAGTTTATGTGTGAAGTCTTATGTCTTAGCATATTAATTTTGTACCCTGTATCTTTGTTATACTGTTAAATGGTTTGTAATAGATTTTCTGTTTGTACTCTTGGATTTTACAGAAAAGCAAGCATACTATCTGTAAATAATGATAAACTGTCTTCTGATTTCCAGTTTTGATTTTTGTTTTACTCTTTCTCTAGTATCATAGTATGGTTATCTTCTGAACAATGATAAATGAAAGTAGTCATTGTGGTAGTAGTATTGACATTAGTGGTCAAACTTCTAGCCTTTCACGAGCTAGCAGTAATAAAAGAATTCTTCCTTTTCTCTCCCTGTCTTATGTGCATGTATATAAATTAGGAAAGGAGATACCCAGCAGTTCTGGTCGGTTAAGCAGTTGTGTAATGAGTAGTGAAACACAGATTCAAGTAATGGGTTCTAGTGTTCCACAGCCCAATTGGTGAGTACAGTTCATAGTACCATTTAATGAGCCAGGAGGGCTAAGCATGAATAAGAAATGAGGAAGTGGAAATGCTGATCACCTCATTTAATCAGGCTGCACTGCTTACATATATTAAAATACTGCAGTGTGCCCTATAAAAATATATAGGTAATGCATGTTAATAAAAAAAGACATGAAAAATAGAAGAATGAATTAAATGTTGGAGAACTGATATGTAGCAATGAGTGCACCACTCAGTAAAGTTCTTAGGGATCAAAATGCTTGAAAGGAATAACTTTGATGGTATATGAAATACATCTTAATGAAATGATCTGAAAAAAATGGAGTGAATGTAGTATTTTATAAAGTTTTGTAATACCCATGGAGATTATTGTATGCTACTTTGCTTTGTTCTGTTGGTATGTTTAATTATCTTGTAACATTGGGCTGGTGCAGTAGCCTAATGGCAAAATCCTTGCCTTGCATGTGTTGGGATCCTGTATGGGCACCTGTGTGTGCCCAGCTGCTCTACTTCCCATCCTGCTCCCTATTTGTGAACTGGGAAAGCAACAAGGGAAGGCTCAGAGCCTTGGGACCTTGCATCCACATTGGACACCTGAAAGAAGCTCCTGACTCCTGGCTCCTGGCTTCAACTCTGGCTGTTGTGACTGCTTGGGGATTGAACCCGTGGATGGGGGATTTTTCTTGTCCCTCTATCTCTCCTTCTCTCTATAAATCTGACTTTCCAATAAAAATTAAATGAATATTTAAAAAAATAAATGAATCATTAAAAATTAAATAATATAGTAACCTGTATTCCTACAATAGAAACTATGTATAGTATACTAATGCTCTTATGTGTTATTCAATTCTGTTTGCTAATGTTTAAAATTTGGAACTTGTATCAGTATTTAGTAGGGAAATGAAAATGCAGTTTCCCTTTTGTATACCTTTGTTATTAGGTGATTGTATCAATATTATGCCTCACCTTTTTTCAAAGATTTATTTGTTGATTTAAAGGTCAGCCACAGGGAGACATGGAGAAACAGAGAAAGAGAGATCATCCATCTGCTGGTTCACTGCTCAGGTGTCCATAGTGGCCAGTGCTGAGCCGGGCTAAAACCAAGAGCAGGAAAATCATCTAGTCTCCTACATGGGTGCAGGGGCCCAAACACTTGGGCCATCTTCCACTGCTCTCCTAGGCCTTTAACAGTGAACTTGGTAGGAAGTGGAGCAATGGAATTTGACCTGGTGCCTCAATGGGATGCTGGCATCACAAGTGGTGGCTCTAGTGCTATACCACAATAGCCTCTAAAACTCACTTTTAAAGTAAAAATTTGGTAATGTTTCTTTTCATTATATCAGTTGCAATAGTTTAAATATTGTCATGTGATTCCTTAAAATTTTGCTGCAATTGTCCCTCTTAAATCATTGGCCCTGTTTTTGTTTGTGTATTCATTTGTTGGTAAGGGAATCAGGAATGTACCTCTAACTTCCTTTTCTATCATGACATTGCACTGAAGTTTTCTTTGTCCCTTCCCTTGGTGAGGGTGGATGTTAAATATTATTGGCTGGGCATTTTCAGTTACTACTGATATAGGATGAGATAATCTGTTATTGTTTAGTTACTGTCTTAAAAAGTAGTGACTCTTCTTTATGCAGTGTTTTATGATGTCTGGCAGTCTTACTGCCCATTCTGAGGTTTAAATATTAAGGGTTATTCCATCATTTATTGTGGAGGTGGTGAGACTGTAAACCATACTGGACATTTACATTGCTCTATAGACCATTATTATCGTTTTATACACTTGTCTGCTGGACTCCAGTTTTACTGGCGGCCACATGGCAGTGAGAGTTGGGTTTTAATAGGTGTTAATTTGGGTCATGGAGTATGATAGGTATGTAATTTTAAGAAATGAGATATTTAGAATTTTATGATGTGCCAAGGATGTGAAAGACATATTCCTTGGGTATAAAAATATATATTTCAGTTCCAGAGATTTTACATATATATATATATATATATACATGTAACTATATATATAGTTAATTAGGCTTTGTAAGTATGTATATTAATTATATTAAAGAAGGGATTGTTTAGGGGGGGATCTAGAATGCATAAACTAGAGTGAGTCTGTTAATTGTAAGGTACATTAAGAAAATCCCCTTTCTGGCTTGGATGGCAAATTAAGAGACCTAGAATGCTTCAGCAAGCTTTTTGTTTCATTCCCATGTATACCTGAATGTGATGGAGAGAGTAAAAATTATGATGCTGTACTAACAAGTGCAAAGAATCGTTCATGTCAATTTAAATTTAATTTATGATATGAGAAAAATGCATGATTACTAAGATTACGTGAGTTTGTTGAGGATTTATTGACAAAATGTCCTTTTCTTTTTTCACAGATTTATCTAAAAACAGACTGGTTGAAGTTCCAATGGAATTGTGCCATTTTGTATCACTGGAAATTCTTAATCTTTATCACAATTGTATCCGAGTCATTCCTGAGGCCATTGTCAATCTGCAGATGCTGACTTACTTAAACTTGAGGTAGGCAATCTGTAAAAATTGTGTTCAAGTTCAATGAAGAAATATGAAATAAATTTGCTTTCATTTTTGTCCTTTTTCTTTCTTGGCAATTCCTTCAGCATTATTTGAAACAGGCAGCCACAAAGATTAATGAAGAGGTACTTTTCATAATGAGTTTGTGGTGCCTTTCATGTGTTTTTTGTGCTAGGCTTTCTGAGTGTCACGTGGTGATTCCTCGTCGCAGCTGTGGTAAGCACTGGGAAGTGAACAAGGAGATGGAAGACCAATCTGTCTGTCACTCTGTCTCACTGTCTTTTCTGACTTTCTAATCACATGGAAAAGAATCAACTGACTTGAAAAGCATTATGGAGTTGAGACAGATTGGGAGTAAGAGAAAGTAAGTGGCAAGTCTTTTAAGTGTTCTTGTCTACATTGAGCCCGATCATGCGAAGCCTCCTGTAGAAAGCTAAGGAGGAACCTTGAGCAACTCTAGCTGTGCATAAAATTTGCCATGATTACAGTCTGAGAAATTAGTTCAGTGTTTCTGAGGATGGCTTAGTGCTGTGCTGTGATTGCTTGAATGTGTCTATAACTCTTGGGTTAACATAGCAACACCCCTGGGAAGCCCTGGAGTTGGGAAAAATAATTTATTTTAAGGTCTTGTGTTAGATTTTGTGGCTGGGTGTTGCTCTAGTCACATTGTGACTCCTTTCTCCAAAATCCTTGTATCATACCCGGGATTTTAGAAAAGAGAATGGAACTGTTTTATCAAGTACCTCTCTCCTATGGAGATAAGGCCATAAAGTTCAATCCTCACATATATTCTTCACTTACTGTCAGTAGTATCTTCTGTGTGCAGAGGGTCGCACTTGATTGTGCATTATTTTTGCTGCTGATGAAACATAACTTGACTTTAAAGTCAAAAGTCACAGGGAATTTAAAGCAAACAAATTGAGCCTTGTGAAGCAGTGGATTAAATTGCAGCTTGTAAAGCTTGCATTTCAATATGGGAGCCCCAGATTGAGTTCTGTCTATTCCACTTCTGAGGCAGCTTCCTGCTAATGTACTTGGAAGGCAGTAGGTACTTGGGCCCCGTTATCCACGTAGGACACCTGGACAGAGTTCCTGGCTCTTGACTTTAAGCCAGAGCTGCCTACGGTGAGCCATTTGGGAAATAAAACTGCAGATGAAAGAGCTCTCTCCTCCCCACACCCCATCACCTCTCCTTCTGTGTTTTTATTCCCTTCCTCCTTTTCTCTGTTGCTTTGCTTTTCAAGTAAGTAAATAAATATATATTTTTAAATAAAGCTCAAAAAAATTCATTTTTGGTACAGCAACACTTTATGACACATAACAATATCAGAGAAAAAAAATTATTTTTTTGGCTGGTTATTTAGAAGTAGGAGATTTTTCCTGCCTTTTTTTTTTTTGTGGCTAAAAACTTGGTTCTCATTGCATATCTGTAGGAATGCATATGTCTTTCATCAGGATTGGAAAAAAAATCCTAGGTATGTTTGTAGGCGGCTGAATGTCTTTTCCATCAATGAGGTGTATGTTACTGCTAGATGGTCTGGAGGCTTCTATTTCTAATCCTCACTTCAGATTTAAATTCATCTGACTTTCTTTTTTATTTACTATTTCTGCCCCTGTGGAATGGCAGCTACGTTGAAATTGTCAAGGAGAGCCAACCATGGTGGTGTTTGCAGATTGTGGTTCAATGTCTCCCCGGGATAGCTCCCTTCTACTCCCAACCCACAAAGGAGAACTAAAAAGCCCAAAGCCTGCAGAGCTTGGTGGTTTGTCTCCTCACTTTTGTCCTGCTGTGGCATTTTCATCCCGAGTATACCTGCTGCAAGAAGTAAATTGATCTAACTTTGAAATGCCTTATTAAGTGTGGCTGAGCAACTTTTGCATATGTTGCATATGCAACATATTGCATATATGCAATATGCATATATTGTTCTTACAAGATACTATATACTATAACTTTTTTAAAAGCACTATATAATACAATGAAATTTTATACTTCTAAAACATTAGTAAAATTGGCTTTGGTGTGATGATTTTTGTGTTGTACCTAGTTGAGAGTAGATTCTTGGTATTTGTAAGGAAAGAAGGAAGAGTATGTACAGTAAAAGATTATTAGGAATCCTTTAAGGCAGGGACTCTTATGAGGAGAAAGGAAAGCACCCAACTGTTGGATTTTGCTTTCCCCATAATTTAATTTCATGTTCCCTTCCTCTTTTCTTCCATTTGTATTGGTCATATTTGTATTGCTTTTTTTTTAAATTTAAATATCCCACTTTTAGTTCTACATTGGTTGAGACCTGTTCTTTACTGACTCATGCATCTTTTGAAAGAATTGGAGAAAATTAAGAAATTAAGTATGTCTCATATCTCAGATGTCCTGGTTGGGTTATAGGAATATTGTGCGGATATATAGGCTTTTTAAAAGCCAGATACTATATGTACAAATGTGATTTTTTTTTCATGCCTCCTGTAAAATTTGCTGCGTGAATGTAAATATATAAGCATAAAATTGAAATGAAGGCAGGCTAGGGAGATTGTCAGTTACAAGTCCTTTAATTCCAATTTGATCTCTGGATTTAGTTGAAGCATGTCTTCTAGAAATTGCACCTTTGAAATTGGTTTCTCAATTTTGCAGTGATTTGAGGTAGAGAGCAATATAGCCCTGGCCCAAAAAAAGTCACTTGTCACATATGACAAAGCAGTTGACTGCCTGTAATGTATAGTAGTATCTAGAAAATACCAATTAGCATCTAATTAAATTGCTAAACCTTCTAAACTGTTGTGCAACATAATCCATATGGAAGTGTTATGTTGATGAATTTCTCTTGTTTACAAACTGCCACCGCCTCCTGCTCAGCCATCCAGTAGGAGAGCTTAAAATATTGTGCCTGTGCGTGATCATTCATGACTAAATGTCTCCACAACAGTTAAAGATGGTCATTCTGTCCATTTTAGCCCTAAACAACCATTAAGTCCAAAGAATAGACTGAGTGTGTTCTTGGATATGTTAAGAGGGTATAATGGAATTTGGGCTTTTGACTTTTACAAGCTTGAAGAGGTTAATGGGATCTCAGGATGCAGTAGAACTACTGAGTTGCTTCAAACTATGGGATGACATGCTAAAGAAGTGGACTTTCAAGATAGAAATGTGATATCCAAGCATGACATTATAATTAATTTAAAAGTATATTGGGGCAGTTGGTATGCATCTCAGAAAACTAAAGAAAAAAGTTGTTTTTGAGATTACCTTTTAAGTGAAATTATATAAAATGTGGCATTTCAGTTGAAAAAGTGTTAACAAACAGGAAAGTTCATCTGATTTTATGAATAATTACTACAAAATCTTTTTGAAGAAAGAGACAGACAGACAAGGAAAAGATGATCTTTCAAGTACTGATGTGCTCATTTCACTCCCCAAATGCCTGCAACCACTAGGGCTGTGCCAGGACAAAGCCAGGAGCCAGGAACTCCAGGTAGGTTTCCCACATAGATGATAGGAGCACAAATACTGCATTAGCAGGAAGATGGATCAGAAGTGGAGATAGACTCAACCTAAGCACTCTGATTTGGGACACAGGTAACTTAACGTGTTGCACCAAGTCCACTGTTATTCCTCCTTATTTCTGTTAACTAAGGAAACTTATTAGAAAAAAACAGTGTCAATGAAACTGATTTTTAAAATATTCACAGATTTTTCTGTTTTTCACTGGGTACTCAATTTTTTTCAGTTACTAAAGTATATATAAAAATTGTTGATTGCATTTTGGTGCAAGGGTGTGCCATACAAAGCTACTTTGAATTTGTGAGAAACAGTCCAAATTTATTACGCTTTATGGAATATGTTATGTATTGCAGCAAAGTAGAGGTCTGCACATCTTGGAGGATAATGGTGGTGATGATGATAATAGTGCTGGTGGTGGTGATGATATTGATTGTGCTGATGGTAGTGATGGTGATGATGATAAAAGAAATCGTGTTGATGGTAATGATGGTGATACCGATGATGATGGTAGTAGTGACAATGGTAACGATGAATGTAATAGTAGTGATGATGCTGACGAGGGTGTGGATGAGTGGTGGTGGTGATAGTGATTTAGTGCTTTTTACAAAGCCTGTGTTTGAAGGATCTCTGAGCTTTCTATCTTTGTTTCTTGGTGTTCACAACACAACCTGAGTCTCTTCCTGTTACCAGGTTATCTTAATTCCAGAAATGTGGCCAAGAACAATAAAAATGAGCAGGCAAGAATTGTTCCTATAGCGGAACAAAGACTTTGAACTTGAACTACTTAGGAAAGCCTTCTCCAAGTTTAAAATCTATTTTGGGTTGTTGGAGAGATTATTGTTGAGAAGACTCATGAAGAAAGGTACCTTAGGAAAACATGGTAACCCAGAGTACCAAAATTCTTGGCAACACAATAGAAATGTGTTGTTAGTGTACCTTGGCTTACAAGTCTCATCTCACAGACATTGCCAAAAAATGAAAGTTCCTTACAACACTGGTTCACATGGCTTCTAAAATTCTGGGAGAGTGGTTTTACTTTCCATCCAGGCCTGGCTTACCCATCAGAAAGCCCTGCCTTTCCCAGCTTGCTGTGTGTCCTGAGGAATTGTCTGTACAGAAGTGGGCGGTCCCTTGGGGTGAAAAATCATGGTGCCATAAAAGGAGTCTGTTTTGGCTGCTTTTTCTGCAACCCGGCATCCTTGTTGGCTGCTAAACAATGTTCAGAAAAGAGTCTACTTCCTGATGGCAGTGTAACTCGTATTCCCGCATTCCTTGGGGAGTCGTTCTGAGTACTAATCTTTAATCCTTATAATGTCACTCTCTGTTTGAAGAATCCTGCAAGAATTGCCCTGGAAAGCACAGGTTTAATGTGTTTAAATTGTAAAATAAGAAGGAATTTTTATTGTTTTCTCTGTCTTTACACTGGCATTTCTGAAGGGTGTCTCAGTTGCAAGATAGTGTTCCTTCTCTGTAGAAAATGAGAAAATTG